CATAAAATAAAAGAAATTAATCTTAAAGGAAATTAAAAAGGACTGGGAGAGAGAGAGTTGGTTTGTTTTTTTGTTTTTTTCCCCCAGTGGCATTGACACTGGTAATGGTCCATAACCCGGCACCATGCTCGTGCAAGCAACCCCAACCAAACTCAGTGTGTCTCAAGACCCAAAGTCAAACAAACAAAAGACTCAAAAGTACCAGAGGGACTTGGTATTGTGTTTTATAAAAAGAAAGAGAAGCCAGGGCTATATTTGGTGGAGGCTCGGTATGGGGTGGAGGAAGGGGGTGCCTCCGTGGGCCCATGCTGAGGCATCCCTTCCTCCTGAGGGACCAGTCACAGGACTGTATAGTATAGAATAGAGTTTATTCAGGGCATGGGAAGCGGAGTTGAGGGAGTAGAGACAGAGAAAGGCAGGGAGAGGCGGGGTGGGGGTGGGGGAAAGAGAGAGAGAGAGAGAGATAGAGAGGAGAGAGAGAGAGGAAGAGAGAGGAGAGAGTAGGGGAGTAAAGGAGTAGAGGCCATCCCTGAGCACGTCTTGGAGAGAGGGGGAGAGGAATGGGAGAGAGGGGGAGGAGGGTAAGGGAGCAAGGGCAAGAAGAAGAGAAGAGAGTTAGGAGGGGCAAGCAGCTCCTTTTATAGTGAGTCAGGCATACTTACCTTGTTGTTGCCAGGTAGCTGTGGGGCGGAGCCTAGACAAAATGCCAACACTTGGGAAGAAGCAGGCATAGGGGAGGGATTTGAGAAAGTACTTTATATAAATGTATGACTGTCAAAGAATAAAAAGATAAGTTTTAAAGAGACTTTAAAAATTAACTATAAGTAAATGAATACACTTCCTGCTTCTAATTTTATTCTTTTTACATGTAGAAGAAACCCACGTCCCTTTTAGGGATTTGGAGATGGAGGTCACACCATCCACACATACATACATACATTACTGGAGTCTACAACGTGTAGTCCCCCGGTCTCCACTCAGCAGTTAGAAAGTCAGTGGGGATCTCAAAAACCGTTTGGTGAATTTAGTCTCAGATCTGTCCCTTTCACACATAAAGGAACCTAGCATTTGCTGAATGTAATCCGCCTCTTAGACAGGGGGCATCTGTCTGCTTATAAATGCCTGATATGATTTCTATCTTATGAACGTCTCTGTTTTACTGAAGATTGGGCATTAGGCTTCTGTAACTTGAGCAAGGCCTCACTAACTAACTCCTAGTGAGTGGTTAAAGCTGGAGTCTGGATACAGAGCTCCCTAGCCACAAAGCCACCACAGTCATGGGGCTCCCACCAGACCCTCAAGGCAACTGAAGTCGTGGTCCCCTCCTCTCAGGTGCCATGTAAAATTTGCCTTAGAATTTCCTTTCAGGTATTCTAACCCAAATCCCTCCTTTTCCTTAATTTTCTTTTCCTTTCTTTTTCTTTTTTCTTCTCTTATCAAAACACGGTCTCTTGTAGCTCAGGATGAAGTTGGGATTCCTCTGCCCTTGCCTCCCAAGTGCTTGGATTACAGGTGTGCAGAACCACGCCTGGTTTTATACCTGACGTGGGTTGAGCCCAGGACTTCCAGCATGCTAGGCAAGCACAGAGTCAGAAGCACTTCATCCCTAGCCTAGTGTGTTGTTGTTTTGTGTTTTACAGCGTGATTTGCTTTTTGTTTTAAGCAGAAGTCAGGCTTCCTCCCCATAATGGTCCGTTATAAACTTGGATGCAGGAAAGAATACATGAAAACCAACTGTAGATTTGGATGTTTGTTAGTATTTTTTTCTTTCTGAAATTAATTCTTTGATTATACTTATTTATATTGATCAATTGCTGTGATTGGGGGGAGCTTGTTTTTTTTTTTTTTGTTTTGTTTTGTTTTGTTTTGAGACAAGGTTTCTCTGTATAGCCCAGGCTGTCCTGGAACTCACTCTGTAGACCAGGCTGGCCTCGAACTCAGAAATCCGCCTGCCTCTGCCTCCCAAGTGCTGGGATTAAAGGCGTGCGCCACCACTGCCTGGCAATTGCTGTGATTAGAATATCAAAAAATTTCCAAGAAATAAATTTACCTTGTCTCATAGCCTGCATAATTATTTTTATTCTAACTCATACCAAATGTATTTACATTTCCATCGTAAGTTCTCAGCATAGGATATTATATTTTTTACTTTTTTGTTTTTTATTTTGTTTTGAGAGAGTCTCACTACATAACCATGGCTGTCCAGGAATTTCCTATATGGACCAGATTGACCTCAAACTCACAGATATCCGTTGGCCTCAAACTTAGAGATCCAACTGCCTCTGCCTCTAGAATGCTAGGGTTAAAGGCATGTGACATCTCACCCAACAAATTTTAATGCTTTTAAATTATATTTACTTTATTCTTTGAGTGTTTTGTCAGCGTGTATGTATATACAACCCATGTGTTGTGCAGAGGGCAGGAAGTGGGCATCAGATGCCTTAAAACTGGAGTTACAGGTGACTGTGAGCCACTGTGTGGGTGCTGGAAACTGAACCTGGGGTCCTCTAGAAGAGCAACAAATGCTCTTAACTGTGAGTCATCTCTCCACCTTCTGTTTTTATTTTTTTTTTTCCAAGACAGGGTTTCTCTGTGTAACCCTGGCTGTCCTGGAACTCTCTCAAACTCAGAAATCCACCTGCCTCTCCTCCCAACCAAAGTGCTGGGATTAAAGGCGTGCGCCACCACTGCCCGGCCGTTTTTATTTTTTCACTCCATCTTATTTAAGAACATGTGTGTGTATCATATGTCTTTATTAATTCATCTGCAATGGCATGTAGCTTGGCTTAAACCTCAGTTCTTACAGTGAACACCACAGTGAACACAGGACTTCTAATGTCTTGTCAAGATTCTGACTTCAGTTCTTTTGGATTAATATGGGGAAGTGGGATTACTGAACAATACGGTTGTTCTATCTTTAACTTTTTGAGGAACCTGCCTACTGTTTTCCAGAACAGGAGAAATAGTTCATATTTCTGCCAACAGGATTCAAAGATTTCTCTCTTACCCACATTCTCAGCACCACTTTTTATTGCTCCTCCTCCTCCTTCCTCTTCCTCTTCTTCCTTCTCCCCCTCTACCTTCTACCCTTTCCCCTCCTTTTCTTCTTCCTCTTCTTCTTTCTCCCCTCCCCTTCTTCTACCTCCTTTTCCTCCTCCTCCTCTCCTTTCTCTTCTTCTTCTTCTTCCTCCTCTTCCTTTCCTTTGATGACAGCATCCTGAAAGGCTCAGGCAATATCTCTGTGTTTTTTCCCACATGCTTGTTGGATACTTTGTGTATTTTCCTTGGAGAAATGTTTGTTCCTGTCCATTGTCCATTTTTTAAAAATAGGCTAGTAGTTTTTGAATTTACTAACTCACTGGAATTCTTTATGTGTTTTGGAGGTTAACACCTTATCACATATAAGACATGAAAAGGCCTTCTTCTCCATGGTTGTCTCTTCCTCTGTAGATCGTTTCCTTTGCTGCCTTTAGTTTGTCATAGTTACACTGTTTTGTTATCTGTGTTTTGAGGTCCTGCCTATGAGACCATAGAAGACTAATTCTGGGAAGTGCTCCCCTCTTCTCTGGGAGTTCAATACCGAGGCTTTGTGGCTAAGTCTATAATTCTTTTGAGGACTTTGATGGTTGTTATTTTTGTTTTTTTTGGATGTTGGGGTTGGTGCCTGGGACCCCGGATGTGATAAACATGTTCTCTACTGTGAGCTTGAACTCTTTGGAAAGTCCTGGTTCCTGTCAGGTGGTGAGTGGCTAAGACTGTCTCTCAGCTTGGCTGCTGATTGTTTCCTTTGCTTTTCAGAAAGCTTTTAGATTTCATACCATTCCGTAATTCCTAAGGTGCTGGAGTCCTTTTCAGAGAGCTCTTGCCCATGCTTATATTTTGAAATATTCTCCCTGTGTTGTCTGCTGTGTCCTAGTTTCAACTTGTACACTAAGGGCTTTGATCCATGTTGGAACTGGTTTTTGTGTAGGGCAAGAGGTACAGATCTAATTACATCCCCATGTGAAAACCCCGTTTTCCTGGCACCAGCTGGTGACTAGGCCATGTTTTCCCAACATGTCTTTTTGATGCCATTGCCAAAATTTAGGTAGTTGTAGATACATGGATTTGCTGATAAGTCCTCAGTTGTAGCCCACTGATCCGTGCATCTGTTTGGTGCTGTGTAGTTTGTTACTATGGCTCAGGTATAAAGTGGGATTGGATGGTATGTTTATTCCTCCGGCACCACCTTCTGCTCAGGCTTGGTTTGGCTACTCAGGGTCTTCTGTGCTTCCACATAAACTTCAGGATTGCCTTTTCTAGCTCTGTGAGTACTGTTGGTAGAATTTTGGTGTGGACTGTGTTGGAGACTGCTTTTGGTAATATAGACATTTTCAAAATATTAATTCTGCCAATCCATGAACATGGTAAGCCTTTGTGTCTAGAAGCATTCCATCAAATGCTCTTTTCAGTGCTTCCAAGTTCTCACTGCCCAAGGCTTTTGCTTACTTATTGTATTATTTTATGTGTATGAGTGTTTTACCTGCATGTATGTCTAAGCACCACTTGTATATCTGGTGTCCTTGTAGGTCAGAAGAAGGCATTGGTTTCCCTGGGACTGGAGTTACAGATGGTTGTGAGCCACTGTGTGGATGTTGGAAATCAAACCCAGGTGCTCTGGAAGAGCAACAAGTGCTTTTAACCACAGAACTCACTCCTAGCCCTGGCTGCAGGTCCTGATCATCCTGCTTCTGCTTCGTAAGTGCTGGAATTACAGCTGTGCCTCACCACGTCCAGCTAGAGTCTTTTAATTATAAGATCATGTTGTGTGCAGAGAAGCTTTGATTTGATGTTTTCCTGTCCTTTTGTATTTCTTTGATTTTTGTTCTCTTTTCTCATTAAATCCATATTGTGTGCCTGCCAGCTTGGGAAACTTAAGGAGATCCTTTCTCAAAAAAAAAAAAAAAAAGCCTTGGCATGATGATGGAGCACGCCTTTATTTTTTTATTTTTATTTTTTTAGAACATCTGAATTTTTTAATCCTTCTTTACAGGTTACCTAGACCACTTTTGATTAAGAAAACTGTAGAAAGTTAGTTAACTGCCACAAGCAGACGCCAGTTGGTGGCACGTGTCAATTTCCACAGAGTCCTGCTTTGCGGGGTGTCTGAATGCACTGCTCGGGGTCTCTGCTCAAACTTGCTGGAATCACTCATGGCAGATTTTAGTCCACAGGTCGCTTTTCCCCATATTTCTTTGTAAACTCTTCAGCATTCTTACAGAATTTTTTACGGTCCTTAGAGTATTCTTCAGCTAGGTCAGCCCGGAGTGGGTGCTCAGGCTGGGGGTCATTCACCAGTGCTATGAGGGACTGGATTACTTGGTCAGTCTTGGTGGCTGGCTTCCAGTTTTCAGCACTAATTACTGGCAGACACACCTGCCCCTTCTCATCGATGTTAGGGTGGTAGATCTTTGTTTTAAGTGTGATCTTGGGTGGTTTGAATGGATACTCTGCTGGAAAGTTGATTTCAATTCTGAAGGCTCCCTTATCATATGGAGGGTTGTCAGGAACGATAAGCCCTTGCCAAGTCAATAAATTAGCTTCATCAACCTGGATGTTGCGGAAGTTTTTCATTCCACATTTGCGGATCTCTTTGAGTTCCTTCATCAGCCTCCAGCTGGCCGCCATCTTGGATCTGCTGCTGCTGCTTTGGAGCACGCCTTTAATCCCAGCACTCAGGAGGCAGAGGCAGGCCGATCTGTGTGAGTTCAGCCTGGTCTACATAGTGAGTTCTAGGCCATCTAGGGCTATGTGGTGATACCTTGTCTTTGAAAACACAGTAAGAGGAGAGCTGGAGAAGTAGTTCTGTGGCACAGCACTTGGCTAACATGCACAAGGCCCTGGACTCAAGCCCCAGTGCTGGGAGGGAAAGAAGAAGAAAAAAGAAGGTGGGCCACAGAACTGTTACTCTTTCCTTAGGAATCCCAGCACTCAAGAGGCTGAGACAGAAGGAGTCAGAGTCCAAGGCTAGCCCAAACTACAAAACTAGACCCTGTCTCACAAAACCAAGAGCTGGGCATACAGCTCAATAGTAGAGCACCTGCTTCATATGCACAAAGCGTTTGAGTTCCCAGCACTGCAGAGAGGAAAGTTAAAACAGACACAGAACCCCAGCACACCTCTTTTCTCTAATTCGAAGCACAGAAGACAAGAATATTATTGTTCTAAATTCCCCTCACCTTTCTGTGTGTTGGTTGCCATAAAGAAATTCTTTGACATATCTTGTTTGACTATAGGTCAAAAGACTCCTATTCCAGACGGGATCCTAGTCAATACCCAGAAGGGAAGGAGACTACGAAGAGGGTAGAAGACTCTAGACAGGCCCTGTAGGGTTCCTGTGTATTACTATTAGACCGTTCCACTAATCCAGTCACATTTGTCAGCTCCCTGTGCTCAGTCTAACTTACCGGACACATCAGTTGGGTCCTTGGTCTTCATTCTGAAGGCTCCTGAGTCACGTAAAGCTATGATCACATAAACCTGTGTGCTTGTCTCCTGTTAAGCTGTGTTTTAGGATGAAGGTGTTAGCCATGACCCTTTATAACAAGCAGGAAATCGATCATCTGTCACTGTCCCTGCGGTGCTGGGTGAGTGAATGTGGCTGGTGAAGAGAGAGCATTGGTTTGATTATCTGACATGACTGATCTGATATTGCAGAAGAATTTCTAATCTCTGCCAGGTAGTACAAAGCTCTGGAGTGTTGATCGGCCTGTATCAAAGGGAACGGGACTGGAGACCAGTGCTGTAGCAGTCACAGGTAGAGGACACTGGATCTGGAAATTGTAAAACGAAGGTCAGAAGTTGGGTGGGTGGGGCTAGAGAGCAGGTGGAGGGATGGCTGGGAGGATTTTCCAGTGTGGACAATGACCTCACTCCTTTTGTTGTTGTTTTGAGACAGGGTCTCCCTGTGTAGCCCTGGCTGTCCTGGAACTCACTCTATAGACCAGGCTGGCCTTAAACTCAAGAGATCCACCTATCTTTAGCCCTTGAGTGCAGGGATTAAAGGCATATGCAGCCACCATCATCACCAGGCAATGGCCTTGGGTTTAGGAAGTAGCCAATCGTGTGATTCAGTAAATCAGTGGCCTAAAGAAAAGTCAGCAGGGGATCTGAGGAGACTTGAAGACTTTTGGGCTACAAATACTAACAAATAAAAGATATATATTTTGACAGTATGTGGGTTGGCTATGAGGTAATTTTAAAGAGTTTTTGTACCTGTGGTGGTTTTTTATTTTTATTTACTTATTTATCTTTCAGAGATTGGAATATGTATGATGACATATCTTGAATTTGCTTTAAAGTATTTCCTATAAAATTGGTGTGGGAGGGGCTAGACAGGTGGCACAGCCATGGAGAGTGCTTGCTCTGAAGTCATGAAGACCAGAGTTTGGCTTCCAGTACCTGTGTAACAAGCCAGGCGTGCCTGGTTAGTTTTTGTCAAACTAGCATTTTTTTTAGAAGAGAGAGACCCAGTTGGGAAATTGTCCCACCAAATTGGCCTGTGGGCAAGCCCATAGGGCATTTTCTTCATGGATGATTGATATGAGAGAATCCACCTTACAATGAGTGTGGCCACCTTGGGCAGATGGTTCTAGTTTCTATTAAAAAACAAAAAAAAAAAAAACAAAAAACAAACAGGCTGAGCAAGCCATGGAGAGCAAGCCAGTAAGCAGCACCCCTCCATGGCCTCTGGACCAGCTCCTGCCTCCAGGCTTTTGCTGTGAGTTCCTGGCCTGACTTCTTCAGTGACACACAGCGATGTGGAAGTGTTTGAGTCTAAAAAACCCTTTTCTCCCTAAGTTGTTTTTGGTCATGGTGTTTTATCACAACAGTAGAAATTTGAAGACAACTATAACCTTGATGCGTAGGGAAATGGAAGCAGGCAGATCCCTGGGGCTTGCTGGTCTCAGCAAGAGATCCTACCACAGAGCAGCAGGCAGAAAGTGAAGGAAGAGGAAACTCAGTGCTCCACCCACGTGGGTAAGCATATGCACTCCTTCTGCAGAGTAACCAAGGTGAAAAATGGAATCTATGTGGGAGAGTAAAGCAGTAACAGAACTTTGCAACAATTAGTGATTCGTTGTATCATTTCCTGACTCTTCTGCATATGTTTGAAAATTTCCACACTGAAATTTTAAAACTAAATCTACCTGCAAGGCAGAGTGGGCTAATCAGCTCAACTGGTAAACCAGGACCCTGCTACAGGGGCTGTGCTCAGGTTGGTGGGAGGATCTCGGGCTTTGCAATCAGAAAGGTCTGGTTTGATTTCCAGCTCTGTTCCTCACCTACCACATTGCTTTGGGCAACTCACTGGCTTCTGGGCACACGTGTGGGTACTTCATGTTTCAGAATGTTGAGGGAACAAGTGAGTCCACGTTTAAAGTGCACATTACATGCCAGACACACAGGAGATGCAGTATAAAGTCTTAATTACTTTATAGCAATCCAACTACTCTTTTTTTTTACCTTGTTGGTTTTTAAAATGTATGTAAAAAATATCAAAGTATATGAAGCAGAGGTGAACTTTCCCTTGCAAATCTCAGTGTTCTTTCTATGGGAGGAATCTGCTTAAATTAAAACTTTAGCTTGTATCTTTCCAGACTTTTTTTTTTTGTCTTTAAATAGACACAGGCATATGTATCTGTAATCATGTATATATTTAAAACAAAAGTGGATTTTTTTTTTTGAGATAGTTTCTCTGTGTAGCCCTGGGTGTCCTAGAACTCACTCTAGAGGCTAGAGATCAACCTGCCTCGGCCTCCTGAGTACGGGGATTAAAGGTGTGCGCCATTTTCCCTTGATCACTCAAAATGGAATCTTACTTGTTGCTCTGAAATCTCCTTTTGATATTATATGCTATAGAGCGTGTGTGTGTGTGTGTGTGTGTGTGTGTGTATGCATGTGTGTGTTCGTGAGAGTGCAGTTATAGAGGCTGGAGGGCAAAGCTGTCTACTCCTTTGAAACAGGATCTCCCATTGGCCTGGTTCACTGAATCATCTAACTGGCTAACCCAGGAACCCCAGGGACCCTGTCTCTGCCTTCTGAGGGCTGACATCACAGGCTCATGCCACCATGGTCAACATCTTTACATGGGCCCTGGGAATTAAACTCAGGTCCTCATACTTGCAAGGCAACCAAGACATGTCCAACCTATAGCCCGTCTCTTTGATGTCAGTTCATGTGGCTCTGTAGAGATGGTTTCATTTATTTCATTCCTATGCATTTGCTCCCAGCTCTGTGTGTGTGTGTGTGTGTGTGTGTGTGTGTGTGTGTGTTAGAATCCAACAGTAGAATTCTTGGGTCAAAGTGTACAAGTAATAGTCTGGTAATACTACAAATGGTTCTAATGTCCCTCTATGATACACTGGGGGATTTTTTATTTTATTTTATTTTTGTTTTATTGTTTTGTTCTATACTAATACCTCAGTATTCTTGGCTTTTTCTATGTTTTTAAGTTTCATGCTGAGAGGGACTGTCTTTTCTGGTCCCACTGATTTCTCAACTGAGGTGAGGTTTGATTTAGAAAAAAAAAAAATCATCCTCAGTGGGGAAGGAGTCGGCTGCATTCTCCTGTCTGCCTGGACGGAACGGTGAGACTGCGCTGTTGGGCTGAATGCAGCAGAGGGTGGGGGGAGATAAATGGGAGTCCCAGTTTTCTTTGTGAAAAGCCAGCAAGGATCCTGTGAGGCCGGATCCTGAGAGAATAAAGCAATAAAACCTCCTCTCAAAAGAAATCCCAGTGGATGTGGGGATGAAAAGGTGGGTGAGGAAAGAAGGGGGCTAGAGAGGCTCACTTTCCCCTCCTGTTGTCCTGGTGACTTTTCAAGAAGACAACGTTCAGGAGAAAGATAGTTTCAAAAGGGGGGGGAGGGGGGGGAGGGACGGGGCGCGGGTTGGGGGGTGAGAGGAGGGGCAACGGAGTCTGACCCTGCCTTATGTAAGAGCACCTGACATGCGCTGTACAATCAGTCCCAGGCAGATTCTCTTAGAAAGATCGCTTTGTAAACCACTCTTTGCTCAGGGGAGGCCAACAATTGCCAACAATTGGCCTTTGTCCTTCCGGCTCTCCCATCATCCCATTATAAAGCTTCTGGTTCAAACCACTGGGAGGTTTGGGCAAGAAGAAATTCTTCCATTGTCTGTTAGAAATGAGATCAATAAGGTGACGTCACGTATGATGTAAGGCTTCCCCCGGTTCCGGCTGGTCCAGGTGCAGGGAATCACAAGAGGCCTCCTTGCTGCTTGTTTCTCTTTAGGCCCTTAGGCAATCTGGCCACACAATGTGAAATTTTCTGTACCTTTCCTTTTCCCCTTTCGGCCTCATAACTACCCCTGCCTATAACCCCACAACAGGCTCTCTGGTTTCTTGGACTGGAGATTTTCCTTCTGCAGGCCTCTTCCCAAACATACCCCATACTGCTGTAGAGTCACACATTCTCTTGTCTGTCTGTCCTGTACTTCTTACCAGCCGTAAGAAGATACATTCTCAGCCCCAGAGGCTCGAGGTTAAGTGACAGCCCAAAGACACAGGTGGATAAATTCAGAGTATGAGATGGACCATGAAGTAACTGAACTAGTTTAATTATCATGTCAACATCACAAGAAGAAACAAATACACAAAAAAAGAT